TTCGTTCATGAATTCCTTGTCTTGTTTTGGTTACAAGCGACACTCTTTAAGGAATTAAACAGACATCAACATCTACCCACAAAGGGAGCATTGCATGGACGAATGCGATATAACCCACATGACTAGTTTTATTTCGTCATGACGGCGTATGATTAGTTTTATTTCGTTCTTTGACACCAGCTTCATGCCTGAATTTCGTAGTTCAGCGCCAAAAACACGTAGGCACTCCGACAGATGCACGGAACCAAAAACGAAATTAACTTGCTTTAGCAGTGCAAAAATGCGTAATTTAATGAGGAAAAATTGACTCTTCACTCTTTTAGTCTTAGTGCAAGCCAAAGTTAGATCAGATTTTAGCATATGTTAAGAAATTTTGAAATTGCAGGACGATGCAACTGGATGCGCAGATGAGGGCAGTAATTTTGGGGACAGCGCTAATGCTCGTTTTGCATGAGGTGTACCCCGACATTCGAAATGCTCTGGCAGCTTCACTTCTCAGGATTGAACCTGATGAAACACTGCATAGTACTTTAGGCCTGGCATAGTGCTCTTGCAGATAACATTTGAGCATTGCAAGGCTAGTATGCTTGAAACGCAATTTTCATGGTTTTGTTGAGATCAAGGATGGCAATCAAAGTGCACTTCCGGGAAGAAACGTATTGCAACTCTTTTTTATTTTGTATTATTCAACAGTCAAGCGATGAATGATTGCCAACAGCAAAAGAAGACTCTTAAATTACAGAAATAAAGAAGTTATATCGATATTTTTAAAAAAACTGAGATTCAAAATACTTTGCTTAGAAAGAACAGTCGTCCTTCCGCCCGTTTCTTTTTTCTCCTTTTGACAAGTTCTTAGTAAAGAAAAGTCCTACGTTGGAGAAGTTATCGACGAAAAACGTGGCACTGGAGAAGCGGATAGCAAAAATACATAATTTCGCGCTGAATAGGTAGAATAGTAAATCTGTTTGCTCATGGTTTCATAGCCAACCACCCTGGCCTTCGTGGCCAACCACCCTGGCAAGGTCCTAGCACTCTGGCACCAGACTGTGGTGCTGCAGTCTGTCTACTTGCAAGCTTTGGCAAAGTTTTTATGCAGGGCTATTCGGTAAGTAAAGTGCATTGAAATTTAATTTAGTGAAGGATTTAAGATTTGTTGTTTTGAGAACAGGAGAAGCATCTTCAGAAT